GTGACGTCACTGCTGGAAGACGGCAGGAGGGAGGGGCTACTATATTTGGGTTATGAAAATTATTATTTCTATTTTTTACTGATTAAATTCCTTAAATCACTGCAAACATTAGTTTCAGCTATAAATAATGATCCATTTATTATTCCTCGCTGAACAGACCTTTTCTTTAATATAGCAAGTATGCTGTAAAAATAAAGGAAATTGAGATAAAAACGAATTAATTAAAAGCCATTAAAGTTGCTAAATGATTGATGTATTAGAAAAAAAATCCAAAATGAGGTTTTAAACAGTTAAACTGCACAGATTGATAAAGCTGAGATTACAGAGACTTTTGGTCTTAATCCGTCTGATCTCATCTGTGCTGCGCAGATAATTCAGCCTCATCTCTGTGTCATCGGGGGGTGGGGACCCACGGGAGGCGTGGGCTGCATGACAAGCCTGCTGGAGCCTCGGGGGCCATAAAGAGCCCCGCATCACCTGCAGCGCTCAGGTCGGCCGGTTCCTGCGCTCTACCGCTTCATCTGACTGACAGCCGCAGGGTCGCTGTGATTGGCTGAGCTCGGCTTCAGCCAACCCACCGCTGACTTCAGGGACTCTCTCTGACTCGGCTTCCTTCCTCGCTGTGAGTCTGGGACCTGTCCCCGGAGCTGATCGGAGCAGAGACGGAGCGCGCGCCATGGCAGCTACGCACAGCAGCGAGTACCGAGCCTACCTGCGGAACACGGTGGACATCGAGGCGGCGCAGCCGCGCTTCCCGCCGGTTCCGAGCTCGGAGCCCACATACCGATCGCTGCTTATCGGGACCCTGGCTGTTATGGGACTGCTGCAGGTGGCCTCCAGCGTCGCGATCTTATTGCACCTGACCGGTTACCTGCAAGAGGTAGGCGCCACTGGCCGCGCGGGGCCCGGGGCCTCTGCTCTCCTCTGTGAAACATTCACTGGCCCCCCCACCGTGACAGGAGTTTGGCTCCAAACCTGTTTGTTTGCAGATTTACTCACCGACAGAAAGTTCACATGTGCGGCAAAATGGGGGCTCTTTGCGCAACCGAACGGCGCCATAAAGTTGGAGATAAGCTGCAGCTTTTTGCAGCTTTCTGAAGTTTTCTGCAGCTTTCTGAAGTTTTCTGCAGCTTTCTGAAGTTTTCTGCAGCTTTCTGAAGTTTTCTGCAGCTTTTTGCAGCTTTCTGAAGTTTTCTGCAGCTTTCTGAAGTTGTGTCAGAGGTGAGGCAGACGGATCTGCTGCGCTTCGGCTTGGAGCGCTGCGCTCTCTGCCTCTTTGAAGGCGCTGATCGCACCAGGAGCCCCCAGAGCAGATGAATGATTTGCCTGACATCGTTTTTTTTTTTACAAGGTCTGCGCTGCGCTCGGATGACATCAAGCAGACGTCCTCTGCTAAGGCAAATGTCAGCTCCTGCCTTGCCTTGTTTGCAGATTGCAGATGTTTTCACTTGAAGCTGCCGTCCCTCCTGCACATGTTTACATGCCATCAGCGGCTATTTATGAGGCACCAGTTGTAAACTTTGGAGGAGAAGCAGAGCTGTTTTTCCAGAGAGGTCTGGTGGAGTTCAAGTGCTTTTAGCTTGTTATTCTTGTGAGGAATGCAGTCAGTCTTAGGATGCTCTCTGTCCGGGTGACAGCTGTCTGGGGTTGTCTGACAACCTTGTGACGGTTTTGTAGCTGAATAATTGTCAAGTCAGAACAAGCAAACGGAGCAGACTGAGCAGTCCTCCAGGTGAGTTCACCTGAGGAGCGTCTGTTCCCGGGTGGTGGCAGAGAGAGAGAAAGGGAAAGGAGAGTTTGTATCTATGCTTCTTTTTCTATGTCTGCTTCTG